AGCATTCATTAAACACCTTCAAATGATTGCGCGATCTATTGGTCATACATACCAAGTTCCCGATCTCTGCTTAGGGCCATGCAATATTGCAAGCAACCATGTTGGTTCGCTTGAGGCCAGTCATAACCCAACCTTATAAAGCGCGTGTTAGTTGGTTACCATATACGAACCTGACATATTGCATCTGCGAATCTTTGGTGATATGGTCTATGTGCCATTTACGCCGCCCTTACGTACAAATAAAATAAAGGGAAGGATGGCAATCTATGCTGGTTATGATTCTCCTTCTAATATTCGTAACTTAAAACCTTTTGACAGGCGATCTTTTTACCGTTCATTTTATGGATTGTCATTTTTATAAGACAGTCTTCCCGTCATTAGGAGGAGATAAGAACGTCAACGTTTCTAAAAGAACGACGAGAATTATCATGAAAGTCCCCGCTGTATCTCATCTCAATCTCAATCTAGATCGTCAGAGTATAACCAGACACTTCCTATCTAGCAAAAGTGACGAGACCACATATACCAGCTGCAAGTAAAGATGATTGTACCATATGTATGACGAACCTTCATCTCGAAAGCAAGAACTCCACTACTGCAGTCGACACTCGTACATTAGGGGCTAGCCAATCAATCTGTCCTACTCTAGAAGCGTGGCAGATCACTCGATTTGAGGATTCACTTTCCCAAAATTAAATGATCATGGCATTAACGAATCCGCCCCTTTGATCACTGTCTTAATCCTTTTCATCTCATGAGATTAAATCTGGATTACTCCCGAGACCTAAAGTTCTTGGTCCAGTATACTAGTTTAGATGAGATATGGAATTGGAATGAGATTATCAAAGATGATGTTTGATTTATATGGTTACTACTGACATAAATGAAAAACGACGATAACGAACTGCATTTCGTTGATTAACATCAACATAGAACTGATTGGTCAACTAGAAGAATCAATCTATGATGAATGAGATGAATGAAATAGTGCGATTGACGCCTTGTGGCGCAAGGCTTCTGTGACATCCCACATTGCCCAGGGGAGTGATCCTTAAATATATATTCTCATCCCTGCTTAGCGCGAGGCCTTTTGGGAGCTCACTGGCTTCGGGTTCTGTTAGAACTCCTAAGTTAGGCGAGAAGGGGGCTAGAGCAATCCCATGATGGGTGACCCACTGGGAAGTTCTCGTGTGAGTTCCTAGAAACAAAACCGTGAGGGCGTGGTCAGGGCCCAAAGCGGACAATATCGTGCTACGGTGGTGGAACGGGCCCGGGAAGTGATCCGCCCCGGGCCGGTGGCTCAAGGCTTCTGTGACATCCCACATTTCCCAGGAGAGTGATCCTTAAATGTATATTCCTATCCCTACCTAGCACGAGGCCTTTTGGGAGCTCACTGACTTCGAGTTCCGTAAGAACTCCGAAGTTAAGCAAGAAGAGGGCTAGAGCAATCCCATGATGGGTGACCCACTGGGAAGTTGCTCATGAGTTCCCAAAAACAAAACCGTGAGGGAATGGTAAGCCCAAAACGGACAATATCGTGCTACAGTGGTGGAGCGGGCTTAGGAAGTGATCCGCCCCGGGCCGGGATGTGACAGCTTCTCTTATACGCCATGTGATTGATTGCAGTATTACAAACATGGTTGTAGTATCTTTGGGATCGTGATATGAAACCTACATGGAGTTTCCAAAGGACTTACATGTACAAATTCAAATAGTTCTAGACCACAAGAACACCCTCTCGATTCTCAAGAGTCCTTCACTTTGCCGATGCAGAACTATTCGGGTGAATACGGTATACCCGTTTAAGTCAATATTTGATCAGTTAGGGATATATGCTCCTACGTGTACAAAACCCAAACTTGCTAGAGTTGAGAAAACTAACTCGTACCTAAGGTAGGACTTTAAGATGAATGATCTTGGGAAAAGTCGACATTACCTCGACTTGAAGTTTCGAGCTAGTTCTAATGGTATTCTGGCCCACCACTTGAACTAGTCCCAAAATGTGTTATGTCCAAGTATACCCTGATCGTTTGTACGCTAGATGCAAATGAGACCTCTAAGGAAGATATGGAGCATAAGGTTCTATATTGGAACGTGAGGTAACCATATCTAAGTACAATTAGCATTTGTTGTACTTAGCATAATGCAATAGAATCTGACATCTTATGTGCTGATAATCTTTTGGCATAAAGCAACATTACGCCTACACACCACTACCAAGTTTGGTGTTAAAGACGTTTTTCCGTTACTACAGATTTGGGCTTTTCTATCCCTATGCCTCTTAGAATAGATCACACCTATTTGATCTTCAGAATGATGCCTACCTTGGGGGATTCGCTAAATCATATTACCTATCTGACCGCACAAGGTACGTTCCTGAATGGTTAAGTCTTTACCATTAAGGGACACCACAATATCTTGAAGGTCTATGATATAAACCTTTAGTTGCGAAAACCTTCGAATCATTCCAAGACTCACTATATCTCATCATATGAGAGATATGGTCGAGAACTCTTGTTGAGCATATTCGCAGTCCCTACGATTTTCATCCTCCATAAAGAGAACGTTGTATGTATTGACCAGATCATGATACATCCAACAAGTCAACGCCAAGCATATTATGTCTACATCAACATGAGCATCAGAAGATTGAAGTCAAGCAGTCCGATCCTAGACAAGTTTGCTGACCTTTACAACGTCACTGCCGAAGTCTACCTTCCAGAAGCTTGTATAAGGAATTGGTATGCGTAACTTTCTCATTTACGATGCTTGTAGTTTTATTTGAAGTTTTGTCAAACTCAGGGGGAGTATCCAGAAGTATACTCACTTAACCTTAATGTACTCTTTTTCCCCACACTTAAGAGCATTTTTCCTACCGAATTTTTGCTACCTGACTAGGTTTTGACGAGGCACCCATCCCAGGTTGGTCATACCCTTGTGTACGTTCTACTTATGTCCCGAAGACGTATAGTTTTGACTTAATGCAACTTCTCACTTTTCTCCTTTGACTATGGGCTTTTGTCCCACCTTGTGTTTTTCCATAGCGAGATTTTGTGAGTTTTACCACCCATGCATTCTTTTGTTTGTTTTTGAGACTCACATTTGCTACATATGCCGACTAGACGGGACGACTTCATCAATTGCTTCTACATTGGCTTGAAGATCTGATGCGACATCTACTTTAGTATTTGCACACTCAAGGGGGAGTGTTGTGACATATGTTCTAATACATATTGTGATTGTGTAAATCCTGAGTAGAGATAGAATAGGAATCCTTTGGGATGTATAAGATCTTTCCTAATAGACTTTGTATTACTTGGAAAACAAGTTTCTCTCCTCCATATTACTATAAAAAAAGGCACAAGGACTGGAGAATTAACACACAATTCCTCAAGCCTATTCTCCATCTTTTTCTCTTCCCTTTGTCGCACCCCTTAGTTAAATATAGGTCACACCACTATTTTCCTTTCATTACAGTATTTTGAACAAGTTCATGTTAACAAGCCTAAGGATTTTCTTGTTGATGATAGTGACCATATTAATGATAACGACAATATTGATGATATTGATGACTGTGACTTTGATAGGAAGCTGGCACTTCTGACAGTGATGAATGCGCTAACTATGGATATGATGTCGAAAATAGACCGATTTTATATCACCATTTCATGAGAATTAGCAAAAGCAATGTCTTATCCTTCTTTTATTCAAACGGAATGAATAGATAGAATCAGACCGATTCCTTAAATGCCTTTTTGGATATTCCTCAATGTCCCAGCTATTCATGAAACATGAGAAATAGATGAATAAGCATCGTCTTCTGAAGAAACCAAAGAATTTCTTGGGAATCTTACAAGATTCATTCGTTCATTTTTCTCTAAAAGATGGTACTATTTCTAGTTGAGATATCCATACCTTGAAACATAAAAGGGTGCCTTCTCAAGGATACGTCATGGATAAGAATTATAATGTCTACTGTAGATCCATAGTGCTTCATTTTACTCAATTATTCTGCTGTATTTCTCAACTAAAGATTGTCAAGTTCGATATCTATAAAGCTTTCTACAATCTCAATCATGTGTTTCCTACACTAGCAAATCTCAAGCATTTAAGGTTGGTGTTGATGCAGAATACATTATAGATATTCATTAATTAACTTGTTTCATGAATGCATGTCCTTACTTGCAAATGTTATCAGTTTTGGTGATCACATTCAGCACAACAACATGTAAAATAGAATTCAAACTAACCTCTAGCCATGATTGCCCAACAATGGGTTTTCTACGGCACAGCAAAATCGAAAGCTTGTGTAACTCTAGTTTAAGTGATCTTCTAGCCTATTGCCACTTGAGTACCTTTCTCAGATGAAATGCAAGGCTTTATATAGCCTAGGCTAGGGACCCCTTAACCTCAGGTGAAAACAAACTGACTCCACTAATCCCTACCATCAAGGGATTCGCTAAGTCAAAATCTCTCCTCTTATCTCTTACCTAAAGTCATGCTCTTAATGGATTGTAATCAACTAGAGTCATGCTTGGAGTGGGTTGTTTGACTAATTCATATCTTAACTAATTACCAATATCAGTAACTAAATATTAATGACTAATATGTGGGACATCTTAAGTGAAAATACTTGAACGTTGCTAACATTCTCCCACTTGATCCTTGTATTAACATTAAGAATGATATAGACCTGAATAGATAGATAGCTTAATCGAAACTTCCCAAACAAATAATGACAAGAAACACAACCCAAATAGAACATCTCAAACATGAATCATGGCGGTCAAGACTCAAAACCAAGTCATTCTCTTCCATGTATTACAACATCTGAAACTCTCTATTTGAGCCCTTTATGAACAACTTTAACTTGTTATTCTCGGTCCTTCTTTATCAATTCCATTGAATTGAAAAAACTTTATTGTGCACAAAAATAAAAAACATTTTATTGAATTCAAAATACTTAAATACTAAGCTCAACAATTAATTACAAAGATGATTCAATGATTCTCCACATGACTCTTATACAAATTTGCCAGCAAACCTTTAGTTATGGGGTATGCTATCATTTGTTGAGTGCTTATATGTTCAATAGAAATTTCACCATTTCTAACATGTCTTCTGACAACCAAATACTTGATGTCGATATGCTTCTTGTGGCTTCCATTTTTATTGTTCTTTGCAAAATAAACTATAGCCATATTATCAGAGTAAATCTTCAAAGGCCTTGCAATACTAGCGACGATCTTTAAATATTTGATAAAATTCCTCAACCAATTCGCATGAGCAGAAGCTTCAAAAACAGCGATGTATTCTGCTTCCATGGTAGACGAAGCAACTGAAGTTTGCTTGGCGCTCCTCCAAGCCACAGCTCTTCCAGCAAAGAGATAAATGTATCCTGAAGTAGACATTCTTATGTCTACACAACCAACGAAGTCTAATTCTGAATAACCAATTGCTTCCAAAAAGTCGGAGTGTTTGTATGTTAGCCTATATTCCTTGGTTCCTCGTAAATATCTCATGACTTTCTTAGCAGTCTTCCAATGCTCCAAGCTTGGATTACTTTGGTATCTACCGAACATTCTAAATGCAAATCCTATATTACGTCTTGTACACACTTGTGCGTACATTAGACTGCGAATAGCTGAAGCATAAGGTATATTCCTCATTTGTTCTCGCTCCAAGTCATTTTGTGGACATTGATTAAGACTGAACTTGTCTCCTTTGACAATGGGTGCAATACCAGGTGAACAATCTTTCATCTTGAATCTTTCCAAAACCTTTTCAACGTAGGACTTTTGAGATAGCTAAGCTTAATGTTCGTAGAAATCTATCTTTGTGAATCTTTGTGCCAATGACATATGAGGCATATCCTTCATATCAAAATTTTGTGGAAGAAAATTTTTCATCTGATGCATTCAACCCAAATCACTGCTTACAAGTAAAATATCATCTACATACAAAACTAAAATTATAAATTCTCCCACTGATTTTAAGGTACACACATTCATCGACAATATTAGCCTCAAAAACATAAGAGATAATTACATTGTCAAACTTTAAATACCATTGGTCAGAGGCCTGTTTCAGTCCGTGTATGGATTTTCTTAATTTGCAAACTAAATGACTTTTCTTTTTGTCAAAGAAACCTTCTGGCTATTTCACATATACCTCTTCTTCAAGATCTCCATTCAGGAATGCCGTTTTCACATCCATTTGATGTAACTCTAAATCAAGACGAGCTACTAAAGCCATGACTATTCTAAACAAAACCTTCTTTAAGACTGGAAATAAGGTCTCATGCTAATCAATACCTTCCTTTTGAGTTAAACCCTTAGCTACAAGTCTTGCCTTATATCGTTCAATACTACTTGATGCATTTCTTTCGGTATTATAAACCCGTTTGCATCCAATAGTTGAATGCCGATTAGGTAGTTCAACGACCTCTCATACTTGATTTTTAGCCATAGATTCCATTTCATCTTGCATGGCATTATACCAAAGATTAGAATTTGGTCCATTCATGGCTTGGGAAAACAGGTAAGGATCATTTAGTGGTCCAACATCATAGTTAGACTCTTGTAGGAATACAACATAATCGCTAAAAATGGCAAGCTTCTTTATTCTTGTAGATTTCCTTATAACTACTCCCTGAACTTCAACTCGTTCATTTTTAGGAGTAAGTTCTTCGTGAGCTTGTTCTTCATGGAGTGGTTCCACTTGAACATGTTGTATTTCAAGAGTATCAATTGAATGATTCTCTTGAAAAACAACCACTCTTTCTTTTTTCAAAGAAGACTCATTAGCCTCATTAATTTCCTCAATTTCTATATTACAAGTAAATTCACTCCCACTATGCTCATGATCTTCAAGAAATTTAGCATTTCTAGCTTATGAAAAGCCACTTACTGTCCTTGAATCAAGTTTCTTTAATTGTGGATTATAAATTCTCACTTCAACTAAACAACCACATACGTATAAGTGTCTTAAGCTAGGTTTCCATCCATTCCAAATTTCAAATGGTGTTTTATAAATGGCTTTAGATGGAACCCTATTTAAAACATACACATCAATCTTTAAGGCTTTACTCCACATGGATAAAGGGATACTTGAATTTTTAATCATGCTCTTTACCATTTCTATTAGTGTACGATTCCTTCTTTCGGCTACACCATTTTGTTGTGGTGTACCAGGCATTGTATATTGTGCAATAATACCCTTTTCTTCAAGGAACTTAGCAAATGGACATGGCATTTGTCCTTTTTCTGTGTACCTTCCATAAAATTCTCCACCCCTATCAGACCTTACAATTTTAATTTTCCTTTCTTTTTGTTTCTCTACCTCCACTTTATATGTTTTAAAAGCACTTGGGGCTTCAACCTTATCATTTAAAAGGTAAAGATACATAAAGCGAGAATGATCATCTATAAATAAGATGAAATATCTTTAACCATTTAGACATAGAGTGGGAAAAGGTCCACAAAGATCAGTATGTATGATGCGAGATTTATACGCACACAAATTAAACCCTCTTTTTGTCAATTGTAGTATAAGTATAAGTAGGGATCGTTCTGGACCGGGGATTAGGAGGGATTGTTAATCACTTGGATTTGACTCAAAAATGTAAAAATAAGTTTAAAACACTATACTAAACTCGAAGAATGCAAAACTAAAAATAAGAAAGATTAAGACTAAGACTTTAACGAAATAGGGGGGGGATTGGATTTGGACGAATTTAAACTAAAATGGATACTTGGAAACAAAACAAATTGTAAATATGAATTTGACGGAAATGAATGGATGGGAAGCTAGCTAAGGGGTTCATCTCCACACATGTTATACTTGCATACAAAATGGTTTCTAATTGCTTTTCAATAAACCATGAATTCTCAACACCCCGGGTTAATTAGGTCCGTTTAAATTAACCGTCAAGTTTTCCTTAAGTTAATGAATTGGATGATTGCATACGACAACCCAAAGCATTCCTCACAAGTTCCCTACATGAATTGCATAATAGAGATACAAGCAAGAATCATTACGCATCATGAAAACTATAAGTGTTGACGAGGCATTCGTTACTATGATTGCATGAAACTTATGCCAAGAATTTGTTTAACGCGATTGTTTATAAGCAACCTCCACTACTTGTGAATATAAGTTCATAACTATTACGTGAAACTCACTTATATTCTAGCGTCATATTCATGCATGAAAATTAAGCGTTCATTCTCAATAAACATACATAAATAGGTTATCAATCAAACAGTTAAACAAATTGAATTCACAACTTATGAAACGTAATTAGAAGTAATCAAATCATATTGCAAGCATAAACATATATTTCAAATCACCCCCTAGCTAAGGGGGGTTTAGTTCCTCATACGTACAAAACAAAGAGAATTGAAATTAAACATTGAAATCAAAGAAACACCTAAACATTCCAACAACTCAAACTTGAATTGTATGAACGTTTAGGCCCTCTTCTCTTCCTCTTCGTTGTAGCATAAGGTCTAAGGATAGTTTGATGGTGTGGATGGTTTGGGGAGTGGTGGAAATGGAAGCAATGGAGGAGAAGTGGAAGGGGGACTCACGGTTTTGGATTCTAAGGGGAAGTGTTTGTGTTAGTTGTGGTGTGAGAAATGGAGAGATGGAATGGGGAGTGAATGAATGACAAATGAATGAAGTGTGTGTGGTTTATATAGGGAGAGAATGGGTGAGAATGTGGCTGCAATGCATGTGAAAAACAGCTAGGAAAGTGGGTGGAAAGCTGGAATTGCACAAGGGGAATGCTGGAAAGGCAAGAGAAGTGCACGGCATTGAGTGTTTTGGTGCATGTGTTGGATGATTTGTTTGTTGGGACAACATGTGTTTGCATGTGAATGTTGTGAATGGCAGCTAGGGGAGGGAATATATGCATGTGGTGGCTGAATGATGAAGAGAAGTTGCTGAAAATCTAAGGGGAAGGCACGGCATTGAAGGTGTTTTTGTGTTGGAATTGCATGTGATTGCATGTGTTCAAGGATAGAATATGGCTTGGGTGATTAATCCATGGGATAGACAACTAGGGGGGAACATATGCATGTTGGTGCATGAATTATATAATGAAAAGTGAATGATTAGTGCTCTAGTGTTAGGACAAAGGTGTAGCTGAAATGAAAAGGGTTAGGCAAAGGGAGTTTGAAGGGAAGGCACGGCAAAGGGAAGTTGGTGCTGTTTTGCATGCCAAGGGATGTGTGATGAATGATGAAGGGTTGCAAGTGGCTTAATGATTAAAGGGTGAGTGAATGCACGGCACAAAGGGAGATGGATGGGATTGTGGAGATGCAAAGCAAAGGATGTGCTGGATATGCATGTGAAGGCATGTGAAAGCTGGAAATGGAAGGTAGGCCACGGCATGGATGTGTTTTGGGTGTGTGTGTGTGAATGTGTGGCTTAATGATTAAGTGAATGAATATGTGGCTGCATGTGGATTAAAGGGGTGTGAATGGTGGTGTAATGATGAAATGAAATGGCTAGAAAGGGTATGAAATGCACGGCAAGGATTTCAGGATGCATGTGTGTGTGAATGGTGGTGAAAATGCATGTGAGTGCATGTTTTGGTGCTGGAATTAGGGGGAATGCACGGGTTAGGCTTGGTTGAATGATGATGATGCATGTGGGTGGTGGGAACAAAGGGGGAAACAAGGCACATGGAACTAGGAAATGAAATAAAACAAAATATTTTTTTTAAAGTCTAATTAGTCTTTTACCAAACAATGTACTAGATTTAAGTCCATTCGAATCTCATCCACTATAATGTTGCACCAAATTATAGATTGTGATTCAAAGCCTAGCTAATCTATGTAAATCAAATTATCTATTCTAAAATTGAGAAGGAATTGACTGTTCATTTAGCTACAATCAATTGTTTGCCCCTTGATTTCATCTCATTTACAATAAAACCATGAGATTTGGGCTGGGTTTGAAGGGTATTTATTTGAACTCAGAAGGGTAATTTTGTCCAGAGGGTTTAGGATGGATTACCCCTTGATTTCACCTTATTTGCAAGAAACCTATCAGATTTGGGTTAGGTTGGAAGGGCAATTTTGTCCTCTCAGTTTTGAGCGAATTTGGGAGTTGCCGTGTAGGTTTTCATTTGTTGTCCTTCAATGAGGGTTTCGGGGGGATGGAAGCTCAGAGAGAAAGAGAGAGAGAGAGAGAGAGAGAGAGATGGCGATGGAAAGAGAGTGAGGGGGAGGGGTATGGGTGATGGATTTCAGAGGTGGGAGAATGGGGATGGTCAGGGCATATCATACTTATAATTATCCAACTTAAAAAAAATCACAAGATAATTTGTATAGATTAGATACTCAAACACCCACTTAACGAATCTTACTCATAAACCAAATACCAATTAATTAATAGTATCTTCTTTTCCTCGACTTTCTTCAATTTTCTCAGTAAACAATCATTTTATCATGATCAAAAAGAAAAACTCATAAAAAATAAAAATCAAATATTTACCAATAATTAACAATTTTAATACTCAAAGCATCCATGTTTCATGACACACCTCGATCCAGAATGTCCATATAGACACTCGAATCGTGATGTGCTGGCAGACACTTAGAAGGTGACGAAACCATAAATTGTGATGATGCGGAAAATGTGAATAAAGTAAAACCTAAAAATGACTAATTAAAGTGTGCATATGAACGGGATTGAACCCATAGCACACAAGTGATATCAGAGCATAGATAAATTGCAGTAAAAGAAAAGTAAA